TCTTTCACTCAGCCTAATGCATTCAAGATTCATCTGTAATATTGCTTGTGAAGTCACTCACTCCTTTTTATTCCAGAGTAATTTCTGTGTATGTATATAGCAATTTCTTTACCCATTCATCAGTTGAAAGGTGTTTTGTTGTTTTGGATGATTATGAATAAATCTTCTATGAACAATCACAGTCACACTGCTGAGAAAAAGGAAAGTGGGAAGAAAATCACTGATTGTTTCCAAATTCTTTAACATGGGGCATTTAGCTAGGGGTGTAACTCAGTGGAACAGCACTGGCCTACAATGCACAAGGCCTTGGATTCCATCCCCAGCACAAGACAAAAACAAAAATGGGGAAATTGAAGTCCACAGAGGGAAACTGAGGTTCTACACAGAACTGAAGGCAGAGCTGGACTTAGGATGCAGGACCTTTCCCTTAGTTTCACACACCTCATGTTTCTGGGCTGTCACACTCAGGATACAAAATCTACACCCAGATTTGAGCACTGCAATCCACTGATCTGGAACCATACGTGAAACTGGGTAGGTCATTCAGTAAATCCTCTAGACTCCCAGAGTTAACTGGCTTTCCTTTTGTATCTGCAGGTCTGATACGTGGCGCCTGGTGAACCCACCAGCACGGCCTCATCTTGAAAATTCTCTCAGGGGCCCATCTGCAGCCCACAGTGGGCAGAAAGTAACAGCCATGGCAACCAGGATCACAGCTCGTGTGGAAGGTGGTTACCACAGCAACCGTAGCATCTTCTGCACCATCCTGTAAGGATACAGACCTGCCTCAGAAGAGCTAAGGGGCAAAGGCCCTCAGGATGAACACAGTGCCTGAGAAGACTCCTAGTCCCTCACTCTTGGAAAAACAGGTCCCAGGCCTCCTGGGGACTCAGAACAAGGTACCTCTAAAGTTTCAGCTCCACAACCCTCAGCAGGAACTTAAAACCTGTTTCAAAGAGAAAAGGGCATCAAAATTGAGGGGCTTCTAGTCATTCTAACGATGGTAGATTATAAAGAACTGGGAAAACTGAAACAGTATATGAAACTTTGGGGCCAGGATTCTTTCAGAATTACAGGGAACCTCATTTAACACATACCAAACCCTGACTCTTCTCAGGAAAGACATTTGCTTCTAAGGAAGGGAAGTGATTGAGGTAGAGATAACTGCCCCAGAATCGGCCTCTTATTTGGGTGGTCCTGGCCCTGCCTCGATCCAGGGACTGTACCATGCTTCAGTTGGTTTTCTTAAGGACACAGTTTTCATAGAATGGGACATAGTCCTGTGAGGAAGGGGAAAGGCTGTCCCAGGGAGGACAAGGAGGGCGATGTGGCAAATGGCTTCCTTCAGGCACCAGGCAGGTGCATGGCTGGGTAGTTCAGAGATGCATGAAGCTCAGCTGTAGTCAAGGAGCTCCTGAGCTCAGTGACACATTAGTTTGGTGCCTGCCATAAGATTCAGAGTTCATATGAGCACACCCACACCAGCTACCCGCCAGCTCCAGCCTATCCAAATGGAGGTGCCTGGGCTCTCAATGTGTCCACATCCTCATGGGTGATGTCCTGACTTTACTGACCCTATGTCTCCCACTGTGCCTTGGCTCAAGCTTTCCTTACTGGCTGACTTTTCTCCACCATATCTATGTGCTGGCCCCACTCATTCTTCAAAGTTTAGCTTATATACTGCCATCTCTACATGGCTGACCCCTCACTCCAGATGACAGTGCTGTCCCCCTGAGCCTCAATCACCCTTCCTCTGCTCCCTCAGGGCACTGAGCACTTTCTGCCTTGTTTTCAAACTATCTGGGGATCTATACCTTGTCCCACCCACCTACCTGTGAACTCTCTGTCAATGTTACTGTTCTTGTACCCAGGTCCCAGCCCACAGCTAGGATGGGTAGGTAGGATCAGTGGCCTCAGTCAGGAGAGAAAAGCCAGCTCCCACAGGGTTTTACCTACCTGCACTGTGAATGTATCAGGGTTGCAGAGCCAGGTGGGCTGGGACCCTACTGCCTGAGGAGTGCGGGCTGGGCGCAAGGCCAGTCCAGCCTGAATGACCTCCCTCCCACTTGGCCTTTCATGCGGGGCCTTCACCAGCCTGCTGGGGATCACTGTCCTGCATTTGGCCAGGCGGCTTCCCAGGCTGGTTTTGTAAGTCCCTAGGTGCTGCTCCGCTGGGTGGGTGGGAGGGAGACAGAGGAAGTGAGCTCTGGCTTCTCTGAGTACCTTAGACACAAGTGTTGGCCCTTCCCATCCCCAGCACTGACCTTTGCACTTCTGTTTGGTGGCCTCATTGTTGAGTCGCTGTACAAAATGCTGCCTTTGTTATTTTGTAAGAAATGACTTTTCTGTGAACCAAGAACTTCTGAAAATCTCAGTAACTAAAATAAAGTTCTAGCCGGGCGTGGTGGCGCAGGCCTGTAATCCCAGCACGCAGGAGGCTGAAGCAGGAGGATTGTTGCGAGTTCGAGGCCAGCCTGGGCTACAAAGTGAGCTCAAGCTCAGCCTGAACTGCAGAGCGAAACTCTGTCTCAAAAAGACCAAAAATAAATAAATAAAGTTCTATATTTTAAAGAGACACTGTGGGAGCTCTTGCTTTGGTCTGGGCACTGATGGGCACTGGTGGGCTTTCCAGACAGACTGATGCAGGCCCAGGCCGTCCCCATACGTGCCCCTGCTTCTCTTGAGGAAAAGGGAGAATCCCAGGACTCTCCTGTCTGATCAGTTTGTTCCCATAAGAATACATTATTTACAGCTGGAAGGGCTGCATCTCTCAGGGTCTGTGTTCGTTGCCATTCAGGGTTTAAAGCTCCAGTCTTGCCCATATCACTTGACAGTCAGCAAAGGATCTTCAGAGCTGTGGACACGTCTTCCCAACTTCAGTTACTCACCATCTTACCCTTTTTGCCATATCCTCACATTACCAGAGAAGCTAACTAGTACTTACACTTTTTTTCCCTTTTGGTAAGTTTTGTCTGAAAAATCTTCATAGAAAATTGTTGTCGGGGTTAGCTTTAAGCAGCCTGCTACTGACCTCTGAGGAAGCTTGCCCTCTTTTGAGATACCAAATATACTCCATCTTTTGGGAAAGGCACATTTTGGGACAGTTCCATGTCTTTTTCTCTCTCGAGCTTTTCTCATAGACTAGATTCTCTCAGAGCAACATGAGCTTGCTCGTACATCTCCCCTCATGTCTAGAGTTACACTGTCCTTCACGTACTGAGAGAACTGTTTCTTGTAAGCATCTTCATCTTCCCCTGGGTACCACATCTAATCTGTAATATTCTGACTCATAATGTGCTTCTGGTATACTTCTTTCTACACTGATCTCCTTGCTTTCAGAAGCACAGCCAGGTAATCCTTTGGTATTGTGGACATAGACAACCCTAACCTCTATCCACAGTTCCCTCAGCAACCAGGAACTTCACTGCCAGTTGTCCTCGTAGGGAAGCCTGCATCCAAATAGCAGGTGAAGGCACTGGGTTAACCCCAATGCTTTCCACATTGTGTTCATCTCTAGTCCCACCTGGCTTGCCTGACTCTCTTCTGTATATGACCTTAGGCAGGCAGAAAAACTGGCATTACCATTTCCTGGCTTGGCTCCAGTTTATCAGAACAGGCTATAAATTAGCTTATGCTGACAACCCCCTCCTACTGATGACCCCATAGCTCCTGATGAAACTGGAAGCCTCCTTATCTCAGCCCTGCTATGCTAGGTCCTCCTCACACCTATTCCACTGGCCCTTCCAGACTCTCTATAAACCATCTAGTAGATGTGGCTCAGGGTTCAGCCTGGTGAAATCTTTTGACTCTGACTTTCCCGACGCCACTGTCACAAATCCCCACACACATGAGCACGAGAACCATCGGCCACTGACAATGACAGCAACATCAGAGGGAGATCAAGTCCAGTCTGGCCATCACTTTATATTTCTACATAAAACAGGCATGATTTGGATGCTGGCTTCTGCCTTTATACACTCCTGAAGAGGCAAGGCTGCTTTCATTTTCTTTTCAGGCAGTGGCTATGAGGGGACCAAAATGCCTGCCTGGAAAGCATACATCTAGTTACATCTTCCTCCGCTTTGACTGCTGGTTTGAGTTCTGAGCTGGAGGCAGTGGGATAGACAGAGTGCCCAGCTTATGATCCTCTTCCCTGCCAGGTGCCAGTGACACCTTTCTTTTAGAGATCTTCAACCTCATGGCTTTCGCTATCTCAATCATCCTAAAGAAGAAACAGAGAACAAATGGACATTTAGGGAGATTTGGCAAGAGGAAGCAGCACACTTACGCTGTCGGTTATGAAGGCAGAATCCCACAGTTGTCTAATAGTAGCAAGCCACCCCAAACAGGGTGCTTTCACCCTCTCCCCATGAGCTAAGAGACAATTTAAAGTGTTGCTATAAGAAAATATTTGTACACTGTAGCTCAGTGTAAAGACCCTGGGTTCAATCCTCAATATGGGGGGAAAAAAGACATTCACATAAACAATAAAAGCAGCACACTGAAAGACTACCAAAAAGCCGGGTGTGGTGGCCCATGCCTGTAATCCCAGCACTCGGGAGGCTGAGACAGGAGGATCGTTGCAACTTCAAGACTGGCCTGGGCTATAAAGTGAGCTCAAGGCTAGCCTGAACTGAATAGTGAGACCCTGTCTCTAAAAAGACAAGACAAAAAAAAAAGAGACTACCAAAAAATAAAATATCCATACAGATGATGGAAAACAAGGTTCTCTAGATCTTATTAATAATTATCTTTACTATCTGTGTTAAACTATAAAACCACCAGGATTGAGCTCTTGCTATAGAATTTGACAGAATCCTAACTCCTGTTCGCTTTTTTTTTCCACTTCACTGCCTGTGGCAACAGGTTTATGGACAACCCTCAGAACCCCTCCATGAGAGCTGTGAAGTACAGAGGCTCTCATAGAATACAGTCTGGGGCCTTGTATGTCAGATGCCTCTCATCCACTGAGAAAGGATCCCAAGGGGTTCTGCCCACTTCTGTATGAATCTCCTCTCAGTTGTCTCTACCAGCTATTCAAGTCCAGTCAGAGAGACTCAAATGTGGCATCCCTGCTGAACAGTGACTCTACCTTGCCATGCACACCTCCCCTGGGCCCCTTCTGTCAACTCTTAAGGCTCTGCCTGCTAAGCTGAAGGTAGGTTCTTCTACACTCCCAGCCCTGAGCTCACCCCTTGAAACCATATAGAGTTCCTCTCTGCAGGGGCAGCAATTCAGAGAACAGAGGCTGCTCTGTTATTAGAAACAGAATGCTATGGAAAGGCTCAGGTTCTGAAGCCGAGCAACTCCCTTCTTACCAGGCGACCTTGTGAAAGTCATTACTTTTTTGGACTTCAGATTCTTCCACTGTCTTTTAGAGAAATTAATGAGGTAACATGGAAAACTTTAGTATGGTGCCTAACACAGAAAGCACTCAATGTCTAGCCATTCACTCACTAAAAATTGTCTTCTGGCTCCATGATTTTCCTGTATGGAACACCCCCAAGTCCCTCAGTGGTGCCACATGCTTTCTAGTGGTACTAGAAATACATCCATCGAGCACCCTGCATGAAGTTTTTTGTTCAGTGCACTCACCTTTTCTCACTGAGTTTCAAGTCTCGCTGTAACACTGTCAGGTCAATCTGGAAGTCATTTATGTGTAAGGCAAGTATGATCACATATGCGGTGATCTTTGCTTTCATAGAATTCGAAATTAAGTTCCGTAAACTGTAAAATCAGTAGCAATAAAGAAACAAATTCTAAAAACAATAAAAACATCCAAAGCCATTCCCTTTGCATTCACTGTCCTCCCAACTTGGGGCAAAGGAAAGGAACTTGAGCAACATTCTTTATTCCTTCCAAAATGCCCAAGACATATCGTGAGCAGGGAGCCAACCCCAGCATTTCCCTCTGAGTGGACGAAGAAAACTGTGCCCACACTTTGCTCAGGCCGTGCTGGAGCACTGCACTGGTGAGGGCCCGCCTAGTCCATCCCTGCCTTCTCAGCTGAGTAGTCAGGAAAAGTCACCCCAAACTCAGTTGCTACTGCTTCTTCCAAGTATATTCAGGAGCAGGGAACACACTGAAAGCAAAGGAGTAGAAAGAAGCCCAGGGTGCTGTGTGGGGTTCTTTCCCCAAAGTCATCACACTGCCCTGCCCTTTTCTGTGATACTGTCATTCCACAGGACACTAGTTCTGTGGGACATTAGGAGGGGCTCCTCAAAAGAAGTGTGTAAAGTGAAATAAGTCTTTATTGCAGGGCTTCCACAAGCTTTACTATTCCTAAAAGATAAAATGAACTTTTCCAAGGATAGAGTATGTAAATTCATAGCATGTCTCCAAATTAGTTGACCCAGAACCCTGCCAAATGGCAGCAATTTCTTCAGCACTGTGTACCATGGTCATGGAATTGAACACAATCCCCTACTACTTACCCCCACCCCACACCTTCCTTCACAGGCAAAACACCCAGAAATCTACCCTCCTGACCTGCCATTGTTGTAAGTCAAGCAGGTAAAGTGCTTCAGCAGTTTGGTGTTGATGATGTGGGGGATTCCAGGTCCCAGGGCACCTACAACACAAAGTTGTGTTTGATCATTTTCTTGAAAAACCCTCAAGCCATGCCTTATCCATGAGCTAGGAGAACAGGCTGACAGCTGGGCCACTGTAATTAGAACCATGTGGTAAGAGAAGCAGGGTCCCAAGATCCAGAACAGCCACTTTAAAATGAAAATATGCTCAGGTGTGCTTCAGCATGCAGATTAGACATACACAAGGAATGTCTGAGATGGGACCATGAGAGGACAGAACAGACTCTAATGAGGCATAAGGGCAGAGAATTAATAAGACACTAGAAAAAAACTAGGTTATGGAGGAAAGCACAGGAAGAGAAGGAGGAAGACAGACTGGAATGCGAAAATGAAAACAAAGCAAACACTGCAAACATGAATACAGACCCTTGGGTGCTCAATCTCAATAACAATCACTGAATATATCTTGTGACAAGTCATATCTCCTGTTGGGTTTGCAGTTCTTAAAGATTGTGACTGCCACATATAGTGACACTGGGATTACCATAAGAAATGGACTGTCTTCTGAAACTGACACAACACAAACTGCCGTGAGCCTTCATAAGTAAAGCCAATTTTTTCTTCCTGCATAAGTGATATTTATTCTAACAGATCCTTAACATTTTCTTTCTATTAGACCTGGATACTGTACCTTGCGTAAGGCAGAACAGAAGTAGTGAATATTAATTAGCTCTGGAAGTCCCTGAGCAATCACACAATCCA